TTTTTTCCCCCTTTTTTTGCATTTTTTTATAATAAATAAGCATTTATATATGTATATGTTACAAATTAAAGCTGTTTTTGTCCTTTAAATAAAAAGTATATAATATGTGTTGGTGCAATAAATTAGTAAAATGCAAATTGCAGTAGACCGCAAACAGCAAAATATGAAAAAATTGCTTGTGTCCTTAACTGCAAGACAAGCTTTTGAAGTTGTGTCCTTAATGGGTTAAACAACACAATCTGCTTTCTATTAATATGCTATATGTATACCAAACATAACACAAAATTATAATTTTTTTATTTTTGCTTATAATAATTTCCAAAACACATTCATAAATGAGTCCTGATTGCCAAATGTCTCATATGGTTAGAATCTAAATGAATTTTTGGTAGTTAATGCTAATCCTATATCACCCCCAACACTATGCCAAGCCTACAACAAACCCTATGCTTGCATTACCTCTAACAATATATTTACACTAACTATAATCCCAATATTTGTCTTTCTAATATCAATTCATTGATTGCTTTTAGCAAAAGCAATACTAGATGGCACAGTGTCTTTGTCAAAATCTATTCATAGTAACGGAGAAACAAAACATGTTATAATTTATGTGTCTCTAACACAATACAATAATATAGTCTCGATGAGGTGAACTTTCATAAGTTCTTTATGGGTTATTTTGCTATTGAGTGAATTGAAACCTGAACTGCAAAATTTAAGATACAGTTGCAAAGCTGGAAATTAGCTGAAGTGGCATTTCTTCCCAAAAATCTATTTTACTTTGAAATATTTTGCCAATTTAATTTCACTGTACATCGAGTAAACACATAAGTTTAAATTTTCCCAGTTGGTGTTTCACGGTACCCTAGGGAGAACAGAACAGGGCCTTTGCCGCTATTTGCTCATCGGATGGCCCAAGCCGCTATTTGCTCATCTGATGGGTATCGCTAAACATGGCCTGGTCAGGTGCAATGGCTGGTTAAGGCCGCGACTGGGCCCCTGTAGTATCAGAAGACGAGAGAAAGTGACAGCCTGTCACTTACTCCCAGTCATAAAGAGCCCTGCACTGAAGGTATAGAGGCAGCAGCAGGAAGTGAGCTGCTGCAAACCTCACTCACCAGCCTCAGCCAGCAGCACTTCAACCAAGCCACCCTCCTACAGTAAAAAAAGGTAAGCTGTAAGGGTGACTGCAAGTATAAACATTTTGACCTGTAGAGGAAACCAATAGAGGAAAAAAAGAGCAGTAATAAAATTATATTTATACATATTTATTAAATATATTATATTTAAATATACACATATATATATATTTTTTTTCTGTTCCTCCTTTCTCATCCTATTAGTCATTTACTTGATCAGTGAATCAAATCAACATTTTGTCTCTTTCCCCTAGCCAGCAATCTTTTTTCTCATCAATCATCATTTATTTTATTTTTTTGCGCAATGGGTGGGACTCCGTATCGCCAATCAAATGAAGATGCTTGTCCATTGGATAAGTCATTTGTTTCATGATTAGTCTATATGGCAGTTCAGAAATCGTGAATTTGAATAATCGCGTGATTCGCCAAAATTTGGACGAATTGGAATTCATAATGAAATGAAAATCAAACTTTAATTTGGAAAGAAAATTGTATCATTGGCCAAATATTACTAGACAGTATATATTTAAAGAGACATGCCCAGTATTGCAAAAATAATACATTAACCCATTAACAACATTGGGGAGTTCTATGCCGTCCCTATTATAAATGAGCTTTGAACACCCTAACGACTTTGAACCCCAGCGCCTGAGGTGTACTAGCCTCCACCGTGATCCACTTCTAGGGTACTGTCTGACAGCCCAGCCAGTTCCCCCTCAGCAATATAGGCCCCCGGGGCCCATGTGTTCGCTCTAAAAGAATGATCATATGGTCAGTATAGCTGGCTTAGGATCTGCCAGCAGGGGGACTGCCTAAACTGACAGGCAGTGCCCTTCCTGGTCACATAGGGAGAAAAAAAGTTAGTAAAGCAATCAGATGAAAAATAAAAATATATGATATAATCCATAAAATGTGTATTTTTATATTGATAGTAATGTATATCCGTATCAAAATACATTTATTATGAAGTTATCTATATATATGATCGTGATGAAAGTCCCAGAGGGGACTGAAACGTTAATCTTATGATTATATTTTTAATGGATTTGAAATAAAGCTTGAACTTTTTAAATTACTACAAGACCGTGAGTGCTGATCACTATTCCAAATGCGTATATATAAATACATTAAATAATAATAAAACAATTAAAAAATTATATATATATGAAATTTCATTCTAAAAGTATTTTACTCACCCTTACTGTTTGCACAAAATTCAATCTTGCCTGGGTGCAATCCTCAGCGTTTGGCATATAACAAAAATCAATCCTTAGTGCAAATTACATGTGCAAATCTTTAAGCAATCGACGTTTCGACCCTCTCAGGGTCTTCTTCAAGATCAAGATACACTTAGAATGTATTTTTTTATATATATAAATGAAAAATATATACATATAAATAGATATGACATAAATAATTACAAAAATATACACATATGATTTAAATATATTTAAATTCTACGTGTATATCTATGTAATCTCTTTACTTAATTAATTGTTTTATTAATTATAATTTGAGGGACCAGCCTGATAACCCAGACAGCAAGTCCATAGAATTTAATTTGCATGTGCTATGTTTATCTCTGTAACTTTCCAAAACACCATAAAACCTATACATGGGGGGTGGGGGGGGGTATTGTTATATCCGGGAGACTTTGCTGAACACAAGTATGAGTGTTTCAAAACAGTAAAACTTATCACAACGATGATATCACCAGTAAAAGCGTAGTTTTTTGTAAATATGAATGCTAACTTCATTAGCGTTTGTGACTAAGTGGCTGCTAAAAAACACTGGTCTACCCCATTTTGAATACCCTGGGTTGTCTACTTTTTCAAATGATATGCCATGGTGGGATTAATTTTCATTTCTGGGCTGTCCAACCGTGTCAAAGGCAACATAGCTTATCTGGTAAATTTAAATTTGCAAAAACAGAAATTAACAAATCTTACATTTGACCCTGTAACTTTCCAAAACGCCATAAAATCTGTACATGAGGGGTACTGTTGTTCTCCTGAGACATTACTCCACACAAATATAAATGTTTTAGAGCAGTAATATGTATAAAACATATAATATAATTGGTGAGTTTTTTTGTTTATTTAAAAAAATAAAAAAATATATTTGAACGCCAATTTTCGCCAGTGTTTGTTACTAAGTGGCTACTAAAAAAGACTGGACATACCCCATTTAAAATACCTTGGGTTGTCTACTTTTGCAAATGGTATACCATCATGGGGGTAATTCTCATTCCTGGGCTGGCAAACTTCAAGGTGAAAAAACTGAAACACAAGCCTTATATTTGACTCTGTAACTTTTGAAAACACCATAAAACCTGTACATGAGGGGTACTGTTATACATGGGAGACTTCACTGAACACATATTAGTGGTTCAAAACCGTAAAACATATCACAACAATTATATCGTCAGTGTAAGTGCCATGTGCGTGTGTGACAAATGTAAAAAACTGCATTTTTACTGATTTATATCTTTGTTGTAATACATTTTACTGTTTTTAAACACTAAAAATTGAGTTCAGCTAAGTCTCATGAGTAAAACAGTACCCCCATGTACAGGTTTTATCGTGTCTTGGAAAGTTACAGGGTTAAATATAGTGCTAACAAATTATACAGACCAATAGCAACAATGTAACTATGCCTGACACTCCCACATACAGCACATAATCCCTCCCCTCTGCCTGTGATGCTTGGTCGGTCCTCCTTCCTCAAATTTGGGGCACTGCGCGTGCAATCTAATGTGCCACCAGATAGGAGTGGTGTGTTAAGTAGTACTATTCTTATCAGTTTAATCCCAATGTCATGACTACTAGTGTGGTCCAGCACGCAGAAACTATGTAAACATATACATAGGCAGGAAAAGGAACATAAAAGGACAGAGCATAAACCGGACCTTAGAATGGCCGGACTAATACGCTAGAGACAGAGAATGGTCAAAGGGAAAGCCGAGGTCAAGGAAGCCAGAAAATACACAAGACAGTTTACACAAGCCAAGTCAGGGAAACCAGAATTCAGAATAACCAGGGAAAAGCCAAGATCAGGATACCAGGAAATCAGATACTGGGGTGAGCTAGGGATTTAAATATCACGCGGTGGGTCGGCAGCCGCGACACCCTGTTACGTCCCACTCATCAGGCCTTTTTTAGTCGAATGTATCGTCCACTGTCAGTCCCTTCGGGATCCATCCCTCATTCATCCTAATAAAGGTGAGGTAATCTAGACTTTTTTGACCTAGGCTACTTCTCTTCTCAGTGACAGGCCCGAAGTTCTATCGCAAATTGGGATAGCTCAGGCCACAGATCAAGCCTGCACACCCAGTAGTCAAGGGGTTCATCGCTCCTCAGAGTGTCGATATCTGCAGTTAAGGCAAGGTAGTCTGCTACCTGTCGGTCAAATCGTTCTCTGAGGGTGGACCCCGAAGGGTTGTGGCGATGCGTAGGACTTAAAAAGCTCCCCATGTCCTCCATCAACAACACGTCTGTAAAGCGTCCTGTCCTTGCCGGCGTGGTCATGGGAGGAGGAGGATTACTTTCACCTCTTCCCCTGTTAGATTTCCGTTGTGCTGTGACATCACCCTTATACGCTGTGTAAAGCATACTTTTTAATTGATTTTGGAACTGCTGCATCCTTTCTGACTTGCCGTAATTCAGTAACATTTCAGGCACTTTCTGCCGGGGGTCTAGTAGTGTGGACACCCAGTACAGGTCGTTCTCCTTCAGCCTTTTTATACGAGGGTCCCTCAACAGGCACGACAGCATGAAACCATTTGCACAGGGTTGGATGCCGAGCTACTCATGTCCTGTTCCTTGTCCTCAGTGATCTCACTGAATGTATGTTCTTCCCCCCAGCCACATACAACACCACGGGTACCAGATAGGCGACAACGAACACCCTGGGATGCCTGTTGTGGTTGGTCTTCCTCCTCCTCCTCAAAGCCACATTCCTCCTCTGACTCCTCTTCTCACAATCCTCTTCCAGCGTTGCCGCAGGTCCAGCAAGCGATGCTGATAAGGCTGTTTCTGGTGGTGATGGTGACCACAACTCTTCCTCTTCCTCTTCACGCTCATCTACGGCCTGATCCAGCACTCTTCGCAGGGCACGCTCCAGGAAGAAAACAAATGGTATGATGTCACTGATGGTGCCTTCGGTGCGACTGACTAAATTTGTCACCTCCTCAAAAGGACGCATGAGCCTACAGGCATTGCGCATGAGCGTCCAGTAACGTGGCAAAAAAATTCCCAGCTCCGCAGAGGCTGTCCTAGCACCCCAGTCATACAAATACTCGTTAACAGCTTTTTCTTGTTGGAGCAGGCGGTCGAACATTAGGAGTGTTGAATTCCAACATGTCGGGCTGTCGCAAATCAAGCGCCTCACTGGCATGTTTTTTCACCGCTGGATATCTGAAAAGTGCGCCATGGCCGTGTAGGAACGCCTGAAATGGCCACACACCTTCCTGGCCTGCTTCAGGACGTCCTGTAAGCCTGGGTACTTATGCACAAAGCGTTGTACGATCAGATTACACACATGTGCCATGCACGGCACATGTGTCAACTTGCCCAAATGCAATGCCGCCAACATATTTCTTCCGTTGTCACAAACCACTTTGCCGATCTCCAGTTTGTGCGGAGTCCGCCACTGATCCACCTGTGCGTTCAGCGCGGACAGGAGTGCTGGTCCGGTGTGATTCTCTGCTTTCAGGCAAGTCAACCCCAAGACGGCGTGACACTGCCGTATCCGGGATGTGGAATAGTACCTGGGAAGCTGGGGGGGTGCCGTTGATGTGGATCAAGACGCAGCAGCAGAAGAGGACTCAGCCGAGGAGGTTATGGAAGAGGATGGAGTAGGAGGAGTAGAGGAGGTGGCAGGCCTGTCTGCAAGTCGTGGCGGTGCCACCAACTCTTCTGCAGAGCCACGCATTCCATGCTTGGCAGCCGTCAGTAGGTTTACCCAATGTGCAGTGTAGGTGATATACCTGCCCTGACCATGCTTTGCAGACCCTTGCCCCAACACTGTGTGCCAGACATGCCATTACTTCCTTTTGCACAATCGAGTACTGGTTGGGGATTGCCTTTTGTGCAAACTGGCAGGCTAAGAGTTCAGTCAAGCCAGCTGTCAGACGCTGGGCAAGGGGGTGACTTTGTGACATTGGCTTCTTACGCTCAAACATGTCCTTGACAGACACCTGACTGTGGGCAGATGAGCAGGAACGGAGGGGCGGATGGTTGATAGGGGGCAAGGAGGACAGCAGTGGTTAACGTGGCTGAAGATGCTGGACCAGGAGGAGGATGGCGGCTTTGAGTTTGTGTGCTGCTTGTACTCATGTGATGATCCCATAGGCGTTTGTGATGTGCGATCATGTGCCTTTGCAAAGCAGTTGTACCTAGGTGGGTGTTGGACTTCCCACAACTCAGTTTCTTTTGGCACAGGTTGCAAATGGCATCGCTGTTGTCAGAGGCAGACACACACAAAAAATGCCACACTGCTGAGCTCTGTAATGACGCCATTCTGGTGGTGGCAACAGCATGCGTTGATTGGCGTGCTGTCTGGCTGACCCTGGGTGCCGATGCATGCTGTCTGACTGTGCCACTAGCTCCTTGTGACGACCTCCCCCTTCTTCCAACTCGTCTCCTCCTCCTCCTCCTCCTCTCTGTCTCCCCATCTGAACTTTCCCCCTGTTCTTCTCTTCTAGCGGGCACCCACGTGACATCCACGGACGCATCGTCATCATCAACCACTTCACTTGTATCTGACAACTCAGCAAAGGAAGCAGCAGCGGGTACAACATCATCATCATCACATCGTACGTCCATGTGTGTAATGCTGCCTGAATGAGACATATCCCTGTTATCTACATCCTCTGGCAATAATGGTTGCGCGTCACTCATTTCTTCCAACTGATGTGTAAATAACTCCTCTGACATACCAAGTGAAGCTGCTGTGGTGCTAGTGTTGGTGGTGGCGGCAGGCGGGCGAGTGGTAACTTGAGAGGTGCCCGAAGCTAAGCTGGAGGAGGATGGTGCGTCAAGGTTCCCAGCCGAAGCTGTAGAAGATTGAGTGTTAGCCAGTCAACTATGTCCTCAGAACTTTTCAAGTTCAGGGTACTCTGAAAACTGGGCATTATTCTAGGGCCAAAGGGAATCACAGCACCACGACCACGACTGCCCCTGCGGGGTGGCCTGCCTCTGCCTGTCATTTTGACTCAGATATGAGTGGCACTGTGCAGTGGCAGAAGTTGACAGAGTAGACACTGTAGGCCTGACACACACGGTTGCAGCCAACTAAATGCTATTCAATCTATTAAAGTCAAAATTTTATTTTATTTTTTTAAATGTACACTACTGTTACACCAGATATGAGTTGCACTGGTGTGACACTGTGCCCTGGCAGGCCCTGAAACACACACGCGTGAAGGAAACTGACTGCTATTATATTAGTCCAAAAAGTTTTTTGTTTTTTTTAAATGCAAGCTATTGCGACACCAGTGAGTGAGTGGTGGCACTGGGCAAGTGGGCACAGTATATGCTGTGAGCCTGACACACAGGCTGGCAGGCAGGCAACTGCAATTACATTACACAGAAAAAAAAAGCTCAGATGAGTCCTTCAGGACTGTAGTGTACACTAGCCTAGCTATCAATTTCCCTATCAAATCAGCAGCAGCTACACTGTCCCTCCTCTCACTAAGAATGCAGCTTCACAATGAATGTAAAATGGATGCTGTCCAGGAGGTGGGAGGGTATGGGAGGAAGGGTCTGCTGCTGATTGGCTGGAATGTGTCTGCTGATTGTGAGGTACAGGGTCAAAGTTTACTCAATGATGACGAATAGGGGGTGGACCGAACAGCGCATATGTTCGTCGTCCGTGACGAACGCGAACAAGCGATGTTCGCCAGGAACTATTCGCCAGCGAACCGTTCGGGACATCACTATTCACTAATGCAAATGGAGCATTGCAATATTTTTTAAATGGACACATATTGTAGTGACACAGTTTTAAAGAACATTATCGATTTAGTTAACTAAATCTTATTTGCTTTTTTACTATTTGTGTGTAGTAAAACTAACCATTACTCTTCTAGCCTCCTCCCCTACCTCTCGCCCCCAAAAAGTTAAAAAAAAAAAAAGTAAAAAAAAAGCGAAAAAAAGCAAAGCTAAAACTTGCCTATGTTCCAGCTCTCCATTCCTACTGGCAGCCTAGTCCTTCGTGATTTCAAACCCCCTTTCTGAAAGGGAGCGGTGTCAGGCAGGATGGGCTTATAGGAATACTTGGGCAGCATAAAGGAGGACTGTGCTGCCATTGGTCTTCTGTCACCAGCATGTTACATTTGCTGATGTAAAATGAGCAATATACAGAGATTTCACATTAGCCTTCCTGGATCTATTGTTTGTTCGAAAATTATTTCACCACATAAAGTAAGAAAGCACATAGAGATTTCCGCCCCTGTAACTCGGAGTGTGCCTTTAAAATGACTCTGTCGCTGATGCAGCAGAAAGGAGCCATGCTTACCTCAAAAAGTCTCCCATAGGTGCTGCCATCTTCTTTCTTTAGCATGTGGCACATCATCTGTTAGAAGCCACGTCACTGCTATACATAGAAATATAGAAACATAGAATGTGACGGCAGATGAGAACATTCGACCCATCTAGTCTGCCCAATGTTCTAAATACTTTCATTAGTATCTGGCCTCATTTTATAGTTAGGATAGCCTTATGCCTATCCCACGCATGCTTAAACTCCTTTACTGTGTTAACCTCTACCACTTCAGCTGGATGGCTATTCCATTCATCCACTACCCTCTCAGTAAAGTTGTACTTCCTGATATTATTTTTAAACCTTTGCCTTTATATTCCTGATATTATTATTATTATTTTAAACCTATAATTAAAGACGTCCTCTTGTTGTGGTAGTTTTCCTTTTTTTTTTTACATATAGTCTCCTCCTTTACTATGTTGATTCCCTTTATGTACTTAAATGTTTCTCTCATATCCCCCTGTCTCATCTTTCCTCTAAGATGAGAGTTCCTTTAACCTTTCCTGGTAAGTTTTATCCTGCAATCCATGAACCACTTTAGTAGCCCTTCTCTGAACTCTCTCTAAAGTATCAATATCCTTCTGGAGATAACAGTCTCCAGTACTGCGTACCATACTCCAAGTGAGGTTTTACCAGTGTTCTGTAAAATGGCATGAGCACTTGTCTCTTTCTACTGCTAATACCTAGTCCCTGCTGCTCTGTTACACTGTCTGCATACCTTTGAGTCATCAGAAATATTTATCTCTAAATCCCTTTCCTCAGATGTTGAGATTTGGATTCTATCAAATATTCTGTACTCTGCCCTTGGGTTTTTACATCCAAGATGCATTATCTTGCCCTTATCCACATTAAATGTCAGTTGTCATAACTCTGACCATTTTTCTAGTTCAGCTAAATATTTTTGCCATTTGGCTTATCCCTCCTGGAACATCAGCCCTGTTACATATCTTAGCATCATCAGCAAAAAGACATAGCTTACCATCAAGACCTTCTGCAATATCGCTACTAAAAATATTAAAGAGAATGGATCTAAGTACAGATCCCTGCGGTACCTCAGTGGTGACAAGACCATGTTTCGAATATACTCCATTGCCTGTCACTCAGCCACTGCCTTACCCATTCAACAATATTGGAATCCAGACTTAAAGATTGCAGTTTATTGATAAGCCTTCTATGTGCAACAGTGTCAAAAGCCTTACTGAAATCTAGGTAAGCAATTGTTACGGTTGCCTCCAGGCTGGCTGGAAGTTGGACCATAGAAAGGATGCTCCTAGCACTCACCAAAGGACCATCAGCACCGTCGACACCATAACTACTGCGTAGACACCATAAGTACTGCAGACTCCACTAACCGCTGCTGCTAGGCTAGGATCTTGCCTTCTGCTATCCACCCTGGACCTACGACCAGGCTCCAGGTTCCAGTAGGTGAACCTCTTCCTTCTGCAGAGTGAAGCAGGATCTGGAACAAGATCTCTTACAAGAGCTCTCTTACAAGAGCTCAGTAGCTAATATCTGATGTATGAAGA